CCTCAGCCGAGAAGCTCACACGACGGGGAGGATGCAAGTTCACAGCGCTCACACTCCAGCGCTGCTGAGGCACAGGCATGCCGTCCGTCTTTTGTGGCAGCGTGAACCCGTGGCAATCTGACCTGCGAGCAAGGCGACGGCAAAAACCCCTAAGCTGAAAAAGTCATCGAAACCAAGTGTTGGGCTCAGTTGTGTCGCGCAGACTTGCTGACATCGTTTCTTCCTTCTCCCAGTTCCTGTCATCCTGCAAGCCGTCAAGCTGAGGGGTGCAGGGAGGGAGGGTGGGAGAGGGGGTTTGACCTGAAAAGCTCTCCTTCTGGCTGTATATGTCAATCTTGCTTGCTGCGATGGACAGTTCCTCTTCCGCTTTGATTGCCTGATTTCATGGGCTACGCTCAAAACTTTTGTCTTTGTCATCGCCTTTCTGCAAACATACAGACAGCAAGAGCGAAATCTGCGCGAAAGTTCCAAGCTCTTGAGGTCATCCACCTAACATCGCACACCAGAAAGCGTGGAGAACCACTCATAAACACAGAAACGTACTGAGGCAATCGATTCAGTGGCCCAGCTAAGGTCGCAGCGTTGGCGAAGGCTCCTTTCACTTGGAACGCATTGCCCGTGGGCTCAAACTCCTTGCCATCCTCGAACTTCATTTGTGCAGTTACTCCCAACAGCGAGCAGATTCCGTGATTCCGTGCCCGACATTTGCTCTCACACGCAGCACATTCCTTGCTGTCTAGCTCCCGCACCCAGACAGTGGACGGCGCCGAGGTAGCGCCTGCAGAGCCCCGCAGAATGCGTACAAATACACATTTAAAGGTGAATGATAACGAGCCGGGTGAGGCCCACCTCGCTCCAGAAAATCACGAAGTTCATCAGATCTTGTTGGTGTCAATGCTCGGCTCCATGCTCGCAGCACCGAACGCCGGATGTCGATGCTGCCGTCGGCCCATTGCATGATCGCCTGCTGCAACTTCTCTTCGGCAATGAGGCCGTCCGTGCCGCGGCGAGTCTTGAGATGTTCAATCACAGTGTCGTAGCACGTGTCGAAGTGCTCTCTGAAGCTTTCGAACTGTTCTTTCGTGGCGTTTTGGAAGTAGCTTCTAGCACCAAAGTCATGCCAGGCCATCTGGCTCTGAGTCTGACCCGTTCCGACCAGAAGAAGGTTCCCGACATGGTTGTCGTGCAAAAATCCAAGGTAGGTCATCTTTTGCAGGTCCATGGTGTAGCCAGTCAGAAGAACCAGCAACTGCGAGATGGTCATTTGCGGGATCGACGGGCCTACGGGCCTTGCTCGAGTCATGACCTCCACTTCCAGCGCAAAGGGAAGCCGCGCTATTTTGGCAGGGTGGCACTGTCCTGCTGCATCGCCCGGTTGGCGGTTGCATAAAGGAAGGTAACTTACCACTGCCGTGTCGTTGAAGCAATACATGCATGACGCTGCAGGTCCCACGATTTCAAACACCCATCCGACGGATCGCCTGAGATTTTCACGCCACAAGAGTTCGCTGTGGACTTCCCGCTTGGGGTGGATTGGCCTGAGTGGCCGCGATCTCAATGCCGACCACAACCCTGCCAGGAACACTGTTTCCACAAACCTTTCTTCAGCAGGCAAGTGATCGAGGTGATGCGGCAGATAGAAGGTACGGTCCTCCCCTACATGTGGCATCAGCACATGCCAAGCGTTGACATAATAGCGCTCGAAGTGGCTGTCGCGCACAAATCCGACCCTCACGACAAGTTGCCAATGTCTGCGCAAGCGGCGGATGCGATCGTGTTCCCCGCGCCGGCAGCCCCTTCGTCGAAGTTTACTTGACAATTGAAGTATGGTTGGAGGCTTTGGCAGGTGCCTTCGTCGCACTGGCCAGCGGCAAGCACGACGAGCAGCAGACTGACAAGCGCAATGCGGTTCCAAACCATGGCGCGAAAGTTGCTCTCAACCAACACTCTAAACGGTGTAAATGGTTTCGGGTATTGGGGTACCAAGGGTTTAGGGCATCCTGGACAGAGTCGCAGACTTGGAAAGCCTTCCCGTCTAGTCCAGTCTAGCGACCTGTGGATATCTTGTGCTGAGCCGAATGAGTAGCCCTTTGACTCAAAAATGGGCAAAGTGTGCCAAATGACCACGTACACTGCGAACCCCATGAAACAAAACGCCACGATTTGCGGAAACTGACAGCGCGCACATTTGATCTTTGATTTCGAATGCATGGGAAACAACTGCCAGTAGTTAAAATGCTTTTCTTCAAGGGGAGGTTACTCCGGGAGGTTTAGAGGCAAGGTGCCAGCTCTGCCAAGCGGCAAAAACTCGAGCTTCAGAGGTCTCCCACCCAGCAACCCCTGAAGCCCCGAACCTCTCAGCCGGTTTCGGCAGCCGCATGCTGCGTGCTCTGGATGTCAACAGGACGGCATGCCAAGTGCCCTGCGTGCGTTGTCAGCGCGAGCGACGGCTCGGACGGGCGGCACGCTCGGATCGACGATGCGGGGGCTCGACAAGCGCTCAGCTCGGACGATGCTCGACGGACCAGGCTCGGCTCGGACGACGATGTGACGACGGTGACGGCGGCGGTGACCGTATCGGGAAAGAACTACGGGGTGGAGGTGACAAGGCACTCGTAGGGCAGCCGTGGATCAAACCTACTGCGGGGACGAAGGGCGGTTCGGGTGAAAAACCACACCCAAAAACTGGGGAGGCCCGTTGTGGTGCACACGTTTTCGAGGGGTTTTGCGGCCTTGAACATGAGCCCGTCAA